GGACAGGGCCGGGCCGGGCCGGGCCGGCCTCTTGTCGGCGTCACCCGTTAGCCCGGCCGCGGCCCCCGGCGCAGAGCCCGCTCCCCGGGAAGCCTGTCCCTTCAACCGCCGCTGCGGGCCCCTCGCGAAGTGCCACAGGTTTGGGCATCCCCCCCTTCTAGGGGTAGAAGAGGCAGGAGACGCTTCCGTGGAGGGAGCCAGAGCGAGGAAGCAAGGGTTTGGCTTTGGCGAGCTCTCCACCGCTGCGCTTCAAGAAGCAACGGCTAGGAAACGACGCAAATGAGCATTGGCACAGTGTTGATATCGGATAGAGCTCTCGTGGGTCCTGAGAGGCAACAAGGAGCTCAGACAAGAGGCAGGGTTTCTTCCACCCTGACCTCCTCATCCACCTGTCCCGGGGCTCAGGGTAAGCAGAGCTAATTACAGCAGCTGACCTTCCCCTTGATCAGCTGGTGCCTGGTGCTCCACGTGTTCCCAGAAGCAGCCTCCAGGCATTATGGCCAGCTTTCCCCATGCTGTGAAATCAGACCATCTAACAAAGTTGTCAGGGAGCTCTTGGCAGTCCCCATGTCAGACTCTCAGTGCCCGGCTTTCAGAACCCAAGTATCAGAAGAGGCTTTGGGGTTGATCTTAAGGGAAACTCACTGAACTCCAACAAAATCCATGCGCGTTCATTTCTGCCATGAAGCACTTACACCGAAGATCAGATGCAATCAGCCTTGCAGGTTAGGGTTTAAGATAGCTTTGATTTTAAATTGGCTGTTGTTTACCATGGGCATTCTGGACACCTAGAGGCTGGTGTTGCCCTAGGCTGTATTGGGTGGAGCATCACTAATGCAGGATAAGCTATAGTAAGTACAGGAATAACAAGCTAAGAGTAGATCTGGTGCAAGAAGAGATTTTAGCAGATATTCCTCAAGCTGTGAATTAGATTTAGGAGCTGAATGGTTACAGCAGATCTGTCAAGTTCAGCTAAGCAAAGAGATGCCACTAAGGCACGTTGTGAGGAGATACTGCAGCCTTTTAGCAAGTTTATCCTGTTTCACCCTATTTCAGTATGCCAATTGCTATAGTTGTGCTACATGAAAGCTGTAACTGTATGTGGTTTTGGTTTGTACATGCCCTGGGGTAAGCAGCATTATTCTTGCAGGGACACCAAGAAGTTCTCTTCCATTGACCCAGATCATTGATCAAGCTTGTCAAGAGGCAGAAGCTTACAAGGATGCTGGAGTTGTAAGTTTTGGTTTCCTTCTTCCTATGGCAGCATTTACACAATGCTGCTTCTGCATAGCCAATATTTTAAACTGAGTCTATAATTCATCAAAAGCAGCTTAAACCACATGGTTTAGGAAGATGTTTAAATCCACATCTTTTATTTCAATATGGTAAGTAGGCTTTGTAGATTACAAAACCTAAAGTAAGTATCACATGCACCCAAAACAATTGAAAAAGCCTAGATTCAAATTGTGTAATTCAAGTTGCTTAAGTTGAATTACCACCAATTTCTAAGAATGAAGTCAATTTAAGGCGGGGGGGGGGGGGGGGGCTAGCGC